TCCTTTTTATTACCCTGTTATTTCATTGAGCTACTAGTTACTTCAATTAGCCAGATAAATTGCTTATAGCAAGAGCTAGGGATTGGAGCATGGAAAGGGCAACATATATGGTATGGCGTTGCCACTTCTGAGACCATCAGAAATAAGTGCATTGAGGATGAACAAAATTTTGTCCCAAGAATGTAATTGCTTAGCTCATTAAGTAGGAAATGGTCTAACTATGTATATGTAGTTGTGTATATATAGTTATGTAAATACTTACTTGAAATCTTCCTTTATGATATAATTTTTGAAAAGTCTCTGCTTGGGAAGTTTTATGAAATCTATTTGTGCTTCAAGCAAAGTTATATGGTAATGACATATTAGACTCAGTCCAGTGACTATATTTTTGCCAAGAGTTTTTTTTTTTTTTTTTTAATTAGAGCACTAGAGGCCTGGTGCACGGATTTGTGCACCAGTGGGGTCCCTTGGCCTGGCCTGTGCCCTCTCGCAATCTGGGACCTCTCGGGGGATGCCAGACTGCCAGTTTCAGCCCAATCCCCACAGGCCAGACCTAGGGACCCCACAGGTGCACGGATTCATGCACCAGGCCTCTAATATGCATATAAAATCTTTGGTTAATCTCTTCCCGCCCTCTCCCCTCCCCTCTTCCCTCTGAGATTCATCAGTCTGTTCCATGTTTCCATGCCTGTGCATTGAACATCTGCCCCCTGGTGGTCAGTGTGTGTCATAGCTACCAGTTGAATGGTTACTCAGGCTTTTATATACATAGATGTGCGTATTTCTGAAGAATTATAAATATGTAGTTATTTATCTACATGCATTATTTTTGATAGATATCTGTTTTTATTTTTTAAATATTTTTTATTGATTTCAGAAAGGAAGGGAGAGGAAGAAAGGGATAGAAACATCCATGATGAGAGAGAATCATTGATCGGCTGCCTCCTTTATGCCCTACTGGGGATCGAGCCCGCAACCTGGGAATATGCCCTGACCTGGAATCAAACTGTGACCTCCTGGTTCATAGGTCAAAGTTCAATCACTGAGCCATACCAGCCCTGGCATTAGATATCTACTTTTAAATGCAGAAAAGCACATGCCCTATCTATATATGGGTGAGGATAATTTGTAAATCTCCAGAAATAGTCTCATCTCAAGAACATCTTTCCTTAAAAAATGTGTAACATTTCTGTACAAAATAAAGTTAAACAGTAGAATTAGATAACTTCCATTTTCTTTTAACGGGAATATACATGTTTTGCTAATAAGAAAGCTATTATTCTTTAAAATAGCAACCAGCACCAATATTACCCGTTATTTATTTTCTTGAAATATTTATTCTGCAGAAATAGTGTGTGAAAAATTATCTGCAGAACAGGGGAAGTGCTATGCACAGCAATGAGAAATTTCTCACGTCTCCTGTGGGCGAGAACAACAGTTGTTGCCGCTATTGCTCTGCAGAACAGCACCTGTCTGAGGTGCTTAGTTCCAGAATCTAAAAAGTGATAACGGTTCCACTCTCCTTGGGACTGGGGTACTTTAAAACAGGTCCTCTGCAGGTTCGACTGAAATCAAAATTTATTTTGATGTGAAAACATAACGTAGTGAACATAAGCTTCTGCCTTTTATTCATCTCAATGCTAACACAAAACACTTTTTAAACAAAATATTTTTGTTGGCTTCCTACTGTGATTCATGTGTTCTTTTTTTTCTTTATTTCTCTGTGTCAAAAATAGAAGATACACATACCATTTCATTTTTAATGAAGCTTTCTCTGGAGCACTATTTAAAAAAAATAACCTTTACACAAACTAAAATGTGTT